ACCATTTCTGTCTATATTCAGGCATATGTGCAATATCTTGTAATAGGTTATATGCATATATATTTTTTTTTATTCTTTCTTTCGATTTCTCCTTGATATGTATGACTTTATGTGGGGTGAAGCATTTCCCCATAAAGTGGAACAACTTCCCCCATCGACTGGTCCAATGGTCCACTGCTGCTATTCTCATGGTCATACTTGCTTTTTTCTTAGTTCAGCGATTTTCGGATAATCTTGAACCTATCTGGTAGATGAGAAAATACTGGCAAATAATTGATCTGAAATAGTGTATCATCAAATAAAATCTTATATATCAGTCGATAAAGCATCGGACAATGAAGAATTCCTTGTTTATTGAAAGATTGTACTAAAATAAATACTCAATATTGGGTTAACGTAGACAGCAAATATTGCTTAAAGACAGATGCACTTTTCATCAATTTTTCGAAACACGATCTACAAGGAGTGTCGCAGTGTATAGGGGTAAAAATTTGCGCCTCCATCCCATATCGTGGTAGAGAGGCTCTCGAGATGATCACTGAATATGACAGACGTTGTTGATATACAATCGACGACCGTTAATCAATATAATTTCGATAGAATATACGAACCTCATTCTTATTGTAGTTCTATGGGATTAGGTAAAGAGTTGGGAACAAATGTGTCGCAAAATAAGTCGGACAAAATGATTTCAGTGTACTTAGCAACAACAACTGCATCGTGTTTCACATTTTAATTCGACAGGGATTGCGCTAACAGCTTTTTTGATACCTTTGTCAACATACCATCAAACTTTCAAATAGATTGATTCTTTAATTCGAAAGTTAGTGTGAAAAATCAACTATCTGGGCCACACATTACAATCGTAATGAAGTGTAACATGGATCGATCTCCAATCCCTGAAGTATGTGGGTGTGGGTCAGCGTGAATGTGTTGCGTAGTACAGGTGTACTCTTTAGCCACAGTCGGATGCTTAGACAATCATTATGTCCATGTACCATTGCGAGACCGGTTCGAAGTTTGGTCCGAAGAAATGTCTGCTCCTGAGTGTGGGCTTGTAAATACCATGTCAGGTCGGTACTCTCTGTCTGAGTTAATGTCTGCTGATATGAAGTCAATCTTTCGAAAAATATTGCTTTCCTAAAGTAGCTTTTTGGTTTCTGAAAGAAAAAATCGAGTCCTTGACTATGTCTATGGCGTATCCGAAAATATGTTCATGTTGTTCTAGTTGATATTCACGAAAATCTATGAGTTTCCGGATCATCAGAAGCCAAAATGATATTACTCAAAATGCCTGCTGACAAGGTAAACTTTTCTGGAATCATATATGGGTTTCTGCCGTTGGAATGGGGAGGTTGAATTCTCAGCTCCTTTGAATTTTTACTAAACTTTTGTTTTTGAGTGTTCACTGCATGGGTTCCAGAACATATCCAAAAGTCAGCGAAATTAGAAATGAGTAACTTCAAAACTAATATCTGTATCGTTTGATTTTCTCAGAAAGTTACTTTGAAAATCTCTGCAATAACTAACTCAGCCTTGTCTTGAATGCTTCCACACTGAGATTTGGAATCATCCAAGAGTCACTTGTAGCGCATTACTGAATTATAGGATCACGTACAAATGGAGGAATAGTCTAATTCGAAGTAAAAACTCAGAGAGCAACAAGAGGAAATATATATATGGTACGACTAGTAAGATAATAAACAGTTTCAGGGACCATCCATTAGGGACGTCTAGATAAAAAGCATATGTTTCTACCCTCTGCTCCTGTTGTCCAGTTTTGTCAGGTTTCATCGACTCTTTCGCTCCTATGAACATCCATTACAAAATATTTTTCAGAAAGAGCCAACATGTTCATATAGACTAGAGGGTGACAAGCTCAGTCTCAGCTCAGAACTGCTAGAACAGTTCTGTTCAAGAAACTGAACCTTTTTAAAGAGTTCAGCTCCATCAACAGCTTATGATGAAAAGTTGCATTCATAGCTCCTCAAGTCCTATTATACACGGGCACTATTAGGAGCTCAGGTCCTATTAAAAGAGGTACCCATTGACCCTTGAGTACAATCATACAGGGGTACCTATAGATCCCCAAGTCCTATTATAAAGGGTACCCATTGGTCATTAAGTCCTATTATGTACGGGTATCCTCAGGGCCTCAGGTCCTACTATAGAGAGGTACACATCGGTCCGTAAGGCCTATCAAAGAGGGATATCCATTCATTCTTAAGTCCTTTTAGACAGGGGAACCCATAGGTCTTCAAGTTCTCTTATAAAGGGGTACCCTAAGATCCTCAGGCTCTATCATAGAGGGGTACCCATACGTTCTCAAGTTCTATTACATGGAGGTTTCCCTAGGTTCCCAAGCTCTATTATATAGTGATGCCCATAGGTCCCCTACTTCCCTTATACAGGAATACCCTAAGGACCTCAAGTTACATCATAGAGGGTACCCATAGGTCCTCAACTTCTATTATATAGAGTACCCTTCGTTCTCCAAGTTCCATTATAAGAAGATACCTTTACATTCTCAAGCAATGCTCTCAAGGCACCATTACGTCATGAATAACTAATATAGAGAGTACCCTAGCTTTCTTAGATCCTGCTATAGCACTAATTGCCGAGATAATACGGAAGCAGGCAAGCAAAAATCTCCTTGATCGACAAGAGACCAATCAGATGGGTAGTTTCTATTTGTCAGTGATAGAAATGACCAAGGCCCAAACATATACCCCACATTCAATAGAGCATCCTCGATAACCCTAGGTTTGACCCGAACATGACTAGTGGTTGTTTGAACAATAAGAAAGAAAAAGCCTCTTGAAATCTGATTGGTCGAAATTTGAATGATTAAGATTTTAGGAAGAGTTTCCGTTTTTGTTGTCATGACAATCACAAGTGATGCTGGGGCATGATCTTACAGTTTCCCAGGGCGCTTCATCGTATGTGATGTGTTTGTTTGTGGCTCCGAGCTTTATGCCACGGAGAAATAAAGTTCGGAAGCAGAGTAGTCTATTTTCTCACTAGTTCGGTTGCGGAAGATGTGTGCTTTTATCTCATACTGCCAGTGGTTGTTGAGGGCCCATGGGTACCCCTAATAGTAGGGCTTGGGGACCCAATGGTACCGCTGAATAGTAGGAGTTGAGGACGTATGGGGACCGTCTATCGTAGCACTTGAGAACCTGTGGATACTCCTATAGGATAGCCCTTGAGGGCCTATGGGTACCCTCGTAGGATTGTATCTATTTTAACTTTAAGTTCAGTTGATTTCAAAAGAAATTTGGAAAGTTCAGTTTGTTCAAAAGAACTGTGAAATCAGTTCAGCTCATTTGAGAAGAGTTGTTCGAACAACTCGGTTCGTTCGAAAGAAGTGTTCAAAGGATTCAGTTCATTTGAAACGATCTGTTTGAAACAGTTCAGTTCGCGCAAAAGAACTATTTGAGCAGTTCTTCACGTCATTTGAACGGAGTTCGTGAACTGAGCTGGTCGATCCCTTATAGTTAAACAGATACGAATAAGCATACATTTTAGAAAAATGGTATACTTCAAAGGTTTTATATTGTAAATACGTTGGGTTTTAAGAAGGAGGAAATAATAACAGTTTCAAAAAGCTCAGTACCAACCGCTCTGGAAAATCTAACAGCATTCATACGTAACAAGAAACAATGCAGCGTAATCTCCAATTATCTCACAACCATGCTCATATTCAACTAGTCGCTCAAAAATGTTGTTTAAAACAAACTAAGCTTGAAAAATTATCGGAGAGTTGTATGGAAAAAAGGCAATATTCATAGTAAGTTCCTTGGTACCCAGCAATGTTTGCTTCTCTTCCCACCTTCTGTCCAGATTTGTCCAACTTTGAGCGGCTCTTCTTTCTACCTTCACTAGAACGTTCTTTATGCATGACCTCTAAAAGATTTGCTGACTCGAATTAAAATCAGGTATCTAATAAACTCANTCTCAGATAAAAAATTTTGGATACCAAGCATCCATTATTTATGATGATATATGTTGTCTTGAAGATATTAGTGTTTCAAGGTCTCTAAAAAGTTCTGAAACTCAGAAGAAACAATGTTTATAAAATTAAATTTGAATAACAGCTATATTCGTTGAAAGGTTGCTTCGATCTAAGATTTTTTTCTATTGTTTCGAAGTTTTTGAAACTTCAAGAAGCGTGAAAGAACTCAAAAAAAATGGAAACTGATTTAGGTTCCTGACTATACCTTTTTTGAGTTGTCGAATGTTCTAAAACCCTTTAGGTTTCCGATAAAATAGTTCGGGAACCGAAAAGGTATTCTCGGATACCCTTTTCAGATACCAAATCAATCCTTTCGGATAAATCGGTTTTCTCAAATACCCTAACGATTCTGGAAGATACTAATTGGGTTCTTGACAGCAATAAAAAAACCATTCTAGAATACTTTACGGCTGTCGAATTTGGTACTACCGAAAGCCTAAAGGTTTCCGAAATCTCGGAAATGGAGAAGGTATTTTTGAGAACGCTTCCCAGGAAACGGATTTTTTTAGAGTGTATTCTTTTCAAGTTCGCATCTTGAACGTTTGAATAAGTTTTATACCAAATTGCCTCTATTTTGTAGCTTCTACCTTCGATATATATTTTGAACTGATCTTTATTGTTCACATTATTGAAATGTATGTAAAGCAGCTGTTGGATAAAGATAGCTACTATACAGTGGACAAAATCAGTACCGGCAGCATCGAATCAATATTAAAAGATACAACATTTTAAAACCATGAGACTCTATTCGCGAGATATAAAGGTTATGATTACTTTAGTGGTGGGCGATTAGGTTTGGCGACATTAGAGCCATAACATGTCTTTTATCGCACGTGGCAATCGCTTGATGCAAGAAGAATTTTGTCAAGAGATAGAAAAACATAATAGAATGGGTAGAAAAGAAAAAGAAAAAAGATGCAACCATGCTGTCTTTGATATTTTGTATGATAACAAAACGCAGTGCACATAGAAGTAGAGTATGATCATGCTAACTAGTATTCTTGTCGCTTTGTTGCTCATTTTAATCATTTCTTATGGTTGGCGCATTCATCGAGCGTACAGCTTCTTCACTCATCTTGGAATTCCTGGACCACCACCACGATTTGTTTTCGGTAACTTCTTGGATATTCTCAAAAGCAAACGCTTTTCTTTATTGATTCAACAATGGACCGAGAAGTATGGGCGTATATTTGGCTATTTTGAAGGGCATACACCTATTCTTGTCATTGCTGATCCAGACATTTTACAAGATGTATTCATCAAATCGTTCTTTAAATTTCATTCGCGTCGCGATTATTCATTTGATGACCCTAAATCAAAAAACATTCATCTGTTTACTGCCACTAATCTTCGTTGGAAAAGGCAAAGATTTGTCATTAACCCAACATTTTCATCGTCAAAACTCAAACAAATGCCCCCGTTGATCAATCGAACTGTCGACAGTCTCATGGAAAAATTGACTGAACAACATCGACACGGCCAATCATTTGACATCTTTAGTTTTTTCAAACGTTTTACAATGGATACAATTTGGTCATGTGGTTTCGGTATGGAAACAGACATGCAGAATAACCCAAACAGTCCATACCTTATCCAGTCACAACGAGTAATGAGCAAGGAAAATTGTGTATCCAAACTGTTAATTGTGTCTCTTTTCATACCTGAGCTTAAATGGCTCTGGATGAAGTTTCATCAATGTGATTCTGCCATTCGATATTGGCTTCATCATTATCTACCCATAACTCGAAGATTTATAAGTGATGATCCACAAATGTGGATTAGAAAACAGGCAGAACAATTGATCAAACAACGCATCGAATTAGGCAGCACAAATCGAATGGATCTGTTGCAATTTATGCTTGGATCAGCTTCCAAGGATGATTTCATTGAAGTACGAAGTTCGTTTTATTTCTGAGTGAATTCTAGCATTATTAGAGAATGTCTTGCGAGAAAAACAGAGAAAAGTTTGGACCACTGCCATCTTTGTGAAGTCTTGCTAAAATCGTAGAAACAAAACGCTTGAGAATTATTACCAAATTTGGAATAATGTTCTATTTTTGATTTCTAAAGGATCAAACAGCAAAATGTACTGCGACTGCTGACACTGACATCGAACCGCCGCTCATTCGAAAACTGACAAAATATGAAATTGCATCAAATATCTTTCTCTTTAGTGAGTCATTTTGCTTTCTTGCCTGACTTTTTTCTTTTTACTATTTGTATTCTCAAGTGGTTGCTGGCTATGAAACAGGAAGCACAGCACTTGCTTATATGTCTTATGTGCTTGCGACTCATCCAAATGAACAACTCAAATTGCAAAATCATATCGATGCTTATTTCGATTCGAATAACGAACATAGCATATCAAACTATCAAGTTATCTCAGAAATGAAGTATTTAGATATGTTCATTCGAGAAACTCTTCGTATGTATCCAATCTCACCAAGTATAATTAATCGGCAGAATACCGAGGAATTTCACATTGACAATGTCGGCACTATTCCTGTTGGTACTATTATCACTGCTAATATTTATAGTTTGCACTTTAATCCTGATCTTTGGGGTCCAGTAGGTCCTCACACATTCTATCCGGAACGATTTGCTACCAAGCGACATCCACTCGCATGGATTCCATTCGGTGCTGGACCGCGAAACTGTGTTGGAATGCGATTTGCATTGATGGAAATGAAAATAGTGCTCATTCGACTTCTTAGAATCTATTCAATTATCGACTGTGGCCAACAGACTCATCAGCCATTCAAAGAACTTGAAGAATTTATGGTTATTTCGCCTAAAAAAGCTCTGGTCCGTTTACAACTTCGAGNGGAATCGACTTTAAAAAAACTGGTCGGACAAAAGTTTGCTCTCGCTAAGACCTTTAAAACAAAAAAAAACATTGCTTTATAGCTCGAGGCAGGAAGGAGTAGTTCCAATTTGTCTGATTGAAAACTATGTTCTGAGAAAATCGTTAAAGAAGTTTTAGAAACGATTTTTTTCTTCAAATGCAGGAAATAATGATATATTGATAATATTTATGTGGAATTTTTGAAAGCACGCAATAGATGGCGTAAGCTAGCACTACAGGTCGTACTATATGGTATAAGAATGTCTATTCCATACTGAAAGAAGTAAAAAAGTAGTCTTCCCAAAAATCACAAAAACCGCGAAAATCTCTCCGAAAACCGGGTAGTGAGGTGGAAATCTCCTGTGAAAGTCTGTAAAAATTTGGGCTTTTTTTAAAAATTTATATATATTCTGAAAGAGGAAACTTCGCTGCATCTTCCTATGATAAAAACTAGACTTCGATTACTTTACCGAAAAATGGATTTTCTGAGGGGGAGGGGCCCTTAACATATATAATATTCCTTTAATAAATACTGCAGAATATTATGATCGAAATCCAGTTGTTTTGAGCAAGTAGATTATTAGGTACTTCGACAAATATCTTATCTTAAAATACATAAAGACAACTACAAAGTTTTCACACCAGAACGTAAACCTACACATATTTCGTTCTGAAGTCAAATATGACAATGAAACTTATAGTTACTTTTCCAATAGTTTCCCCACCTAACGGATATAGTATACTTTTACGAATACGATGCTTACAAAATTTACGTAGGATACTATAAGTGACATACGCTCAGTATTTTAGGTGAAACAATAAAATTTTACATGGGTCCATTTTGTTGCTTACACCCATTTAAAAATATATATATGAACAATAGACAAAACGTCATACAACGATTAGAAATAGCGACGAACGAAAAAATATTTTTCTTGAGAAAAAGAAAACTGATGAATGAATAGTTACTCTGAAGTTTTCGAAGACTTTCTTCCTTCATTTTCAGAATCAAACGAAAGCTATGATTGAGTTTGTCTTCGAATATACGATCATAATTTTCTTTTTTTTACTTACTCATTTGGTAATGGACGAATCTCAAGAATTGAATCACACCATCCAGTATTTCCCCTATATTGAAATGTATAAATATTAAAAAAAACAACGAAATTTTATTGGTTTACCAATCAATATATTGAACTCGTACACGATTTTCACCAACTTCTAAAATACGAGCTCGATACCAATCACCATTAAAAAGTGCAGCACAAACTTGTCCAATAGTTAATCTAATTTAAAAGAAAACAAAAATTATATTTTTTTTTTTCTATTTTTCTTTTTGTATGGAAACTTTTTTTTACTTCGCGTTATAAGAATTTGCTTGTACTTTTGTAAGTTGTTCATGTTTATTCATTTGTGTAATAAGTAATGTAGCATTAACATAATCATCTAATGTTGCTGCAAATACTATATTAGGTACTTCAAGATTTGATAAATAAATATTATAAATTTTATTCGTTATAAATAGTTCATGTTCTTGAATATTCATTTGTTGATTAAATATTGATTTATCTAATAAAGAAAATTTAATCTTCTGTCTTTTTTCTTTCATTAAATTAGATTGAAATGTTATGTCACCGTTTTGAAATGGACTTTTACCATTTGGTATTTGTTGTTGTTCACCATTACCATTCCATAATGGTTTATTCAAATTTGATACTGTATCTAATTCATTAGTACTCGAATGTGCACTATTTATCGACATTGATTTCGATTGAGTTGCACTCAATGATCGTTCAATAACTGGTCGAAAGTTACTAAATCGAGATTGAGTACTAGGTGGTGATATATGATTGTTCTCATCTGGATTAACATTTATTGTCGACATTGTACGACTATTTTCTTCACTATTAGCACGACTATTTAATACAAAATCATAAAGTAATAATCAAAGTTTACACAAGAAAATAGAGTTCAAGATCATCATTGACATACAAAAGAAATAATTAACTCAATATTAATGATATTTTTGTTTTTTGCACAATCTTCTAATGATATTAAAAATATTGAATGAGACGAAAATCTTTTCGATATTTTTACAAGGTATATGATCAAGTTCGGAATAATTGACGAAGAAACATATACAACTATTAGACGTCATTTGGCTTCATATTAGTTAAAAATAGATTCTTGTGCGACTAAAACAAGCTTAGACGGATTCGAGTTCATGATCTACTGGTAAAAAAAAAGTCTACTTAAAAATTGACTATCTTCCGAAAGACATATTCCGTGTCATTGAAACTATTTGTGTTATACTTTTTTGGAAAACCTTTGCTGTCAATAAAAAAATTCATTAAAACGACCATAACGCTTTATCAGTAGACCATGAACCCGGATTAGAAATGTGCGGGATCATATTCTTTTGATCTCGTACATCCCTAATCAACCTCCTGTTAAGCCTGTCTTATTTTCACCGAGACGTATTCGTAGCCATAATGTCAAGTTTAACGACTTTCTGACACATGAATATGTTCCGCTATGAAATATTAATAAAATATTTAGAATTCTTTTACATACAATCCATTTTGTGATCGATTAAAATTATTATTGCCGGATTTTGACTAAATTGTAAAAAAAAAATGAATTAATCAATCAATCATTTTGTTAATAATACTAATTTACCATAGATTTATTAACACGTAAAGTAAATCCTTGAACAACAAAACTATTCATATGCTCAACAGCTTGATTACTGCTCTCCGTATCAGCATAATTAACAAAACTAAAAATTGTTTTTTTTTTTGAAAAATAATGCCTAATATATTAATGAAAACTTACCCACAACCTCCATCGAAATTTGGATTAAATGGTAAAACTTTACTTGAAATTATTTGTCCAAATGGTGAAAAAAGTTCTTCCAATTGACTCTATAACAAAATTCAAAAAAAAAAGAAATTAAATATAAAATTCGTATTTTTCTATTAAAAAAAAAAAATATCCTACTGCAGTAAAATCTGTTGGTAAATTTTTCACAATTATACTGTTAACACGTCTTAAAATAAATTAAAAACAAATATATGAATTAATTTTAAAAAGAAAATATTTTATTATTACCTGCCAAAGTCATTCATCATTGAGTTCGAAAATTTAGACAAAACAAATAGACCTTCGAAATACCAAAATAGAGGCGTATATAGTGAAAAAATTCCCTTGACGGAATTAGAATAATCAATAAAATGATTGGTTAACAGCACTCATACAATGAATCACAACAAAGAATAAAAAAAGACAACAATAAACAAACGTTGAAGCATGCACATCTTCTGTTTATTTATTTAAATACTACGTATATCCGAAATAACTAACGACAGCTGTAGTCTTTTTATATAAATTTAACGAGCAGATAATTAGTTTACAGAGACCGTGAAAACGAAGGATGGAATATATATCTTTCCAATAATTGAAAATTAATCATCATCAGTTTTTGGAATATTTTACTATGTTTGTCCCTTGCGTGGCGTCTATTCGTTGATATTATAATCCAGAAGATAAGCAAATCAAAGAGATATTATCTGATTTTTGTCACTGGATATATTAATATTTTTTTTTTTGTAATTTTTGTTTTAAATTTTAGATTAAATTTTTTCTTTCTTCTATTACATAAAATTTAATTGTCGAATATGTCATTTTTCAGTCGATTATTTAAATTTCGAATTTTCGTATGTAATCATATATATTGTTGAATATTATTAAGAATAAATTTAATTGTTATAGAAATTTCGTACAACTCTTAGTGAAGAACTTGATGATCTTCATAGTGTAAACTTTTTAATATAATAATCTCTTTTATATTTATAATCTATAATTAAATAGGAATTAACTCATTTGCAACAGACTTTAATTCAAACACGTTTACGTCAACAACGATGGACAAAGTGGTTTGCTATTTATGCAATTCTTGCTTTTTTGATTGTGAATATTTCGTATTATACATTTTTTCTTCCACAAGATTTTATTACTCAAATTTATTCATTTTTAATATCTATAACAATTGGAATTTTGTATGTCGATTTCTTTTTTTTACATTGATAATCTCAATGATTAATTTCGGTTTATTTTTTAAAAGATTATATTGTATTCATTGGATAATTCGTTGGTATTTTCGTAAGGTTATTCACACAAGAGGTGAAGAAAAATGTTTAACTTTGAAAGAAATAATTTATTTTATTTTATTTTTTTTGTTCAGAAGAAAAATTAGAATTATTTAAAGAACGAAAACAAGAATTAGTAAGAGTTTATGAACGTATTTCTTATATTGATCATATTATTTTTATAGATCGAAGAAGTAAAAAATAAAGAAACATATGCAGTAGCTAAAAATCTTTTGGAAAAATATGGTGAAAAATTAACACCAGAAGTTCGATCACCAATAATTAATGGTAATAATAAAGGTATCTAAAATAATTTATTTCAAACGTAAATCATCGTTCAAATTTCGAAATATCTAAACTTTGTCAATATACATAACAGTTACTTCAGTACATACTTTTATATTATTAGTCTGCATTGAATAATTTGCCTATGAGTAATAGTGTACTGTTTATCGGCCAAACATGTGAGAATTCATAAAGTTTTAAGATTCTATGTTCAAATTTTTGAGAATAAAATTCACCTTCTTCAGTTAGTGACTAATATCCAGCTACTCAAAATTTTATCGATTTTTACAAAGCTATTTTTGTATTTTTATTAATTATAGATCAACATTCACGTACATCACTCAAACCAACAATATCGAGTGCTGAAAAGCCACCTGTTTCTGGTATAAAAGTTTTGTTTTCTTTCGTATGAAAAAAAAAAAACTTTATTTATCAATTAATGTATATTTCTTAAGTCGTTTCACCTAATCCCGGTTCATTCGAAAATGATAATCAACTTCTACAAACACCAATACGTGAAGGATCAACTCGTTTAGCTGGTAGGTGATCGTGCTATGAAAATTTTCCATTGAAGTTTTTTTTTTTTTTTTTGTATTTAGCTGGTGTTACACCGGGTAAATTACCACGAACAATTCTACCACCTCAGCGTACAATTTGGGGTGCAATTCTTGATACAATTGTAGGAGATGGTCCATCAAAACGGTAAGATTTTTTTTTTTGTTTTGATTTCTATTGAAAAAAAAGAAAATCTTAATTTAGTTATGCATTGATCTGTAAATCATGCAATAGTCATAATGGTTAGTTTTTGAAATTTTATAGAAAAAAAAAATATCAGTCTTTTTTTGTTTGTCATAGGCATGGCATTAGAAGAAGAATTCGAATATTTATGTAAATTTTTATCAAATAATTTAACTTAAAATTTTATGTTACTGTTTGTTTAGCATTTCGCTGTGCATATTGTAATTATTTTAATGGCGCGCGTAAACATAAACCTGTTTTTAATTCTGATTTATTCAGTACTAATCAAACACAAAATGAAAATAATATTGAACGTATGGAAATATCTGCAACAGATTCATCGGATTCTACTGATCCAGTAAATGAATCTAGAATAACACGTCGATCAATACGTGTTCCAATAGCCAATAAAAATGAAATTCGTTCTCGATCAATATCAGTTGACAATAAACGTCAACGAAATCCCGAAATATCATCATCAGAAGAAAGTTTATCAGAAAAAAATAAATAAAATAAATTCAATATATCGATCATTTTTGTTCTTGACATGTGCAATAGTAAATCCACTAACGTAAATTTCTTTGTCTTATGAAAAAAAAAAAAAAAAGAGTTAATTTGTTGTTGTTGTTGTCTATGTTATCCTATTATTTTATTGTAGATAGATTTCATTATTTCTTGTATCGAAAAAATAAATAACAAGATTTTGAATATTAAAAAAAAAAAAAGCGATTTTTGTGTAATGAATTTATTTGTTTTTTATCAAGTGTCATCTACGGCTGCTAGTGGATAAACCTGATGAACAAGGTTCAACACAAGAAAAATTAGTTAAAAAGTATGTCATTTTTTATTTTTTAGATGTTTTTCGTTCATTAGAGAAAACATCATGTTAGCTCGTTTAACAAGAAATATATTCAGTGCAGGACGTTTTCAAAATGTACTTTATATGCCGTTTAAATGGTACGCATTCAAATCGAGTTAAAAGAAATTTTATATTCTAATATATGTAAAATAAGATTTTCAAGCAGAAAAAAATAATTGTGCAATTTATTCACAAACGAATAATAAGAAAGGATATTTGTTGTCTTTGAGTTATCTACGGGATGGAATTCTGCCTAGCAGCAGATTCAATAACTCTACAAACCAAATAATCACAAGAGCAGGTGTATGTCACAATATAGTTATCATGCTATCGGACGGGTGATCCTACACAAATAGTCATTAGTGACTTGTCCAGAATCATTTCATGACCGATAGTACTGTGGTTTACACACAGCTCCTTGCAAATATGTCTCGAACAATGTATCCACTTTGCCGTGACAGTCACCTTCATAAACAGGAAGATACATTCTTGTCTGTGTGTCCACTTTCATTAAAATATACTGAATTGAATTAGTACAATGAAAATTCTAACGAATCATGCAAAAGTTCTGTATATATTTTGTTTTTAGTATATCACGACAACAAATTCGTCGTCGAAAGTTTTATAGTCTTTTTGTTCGTAAGAGAAAAGTCTTAATTAAAAAACTGTATAAGAATATTTTGCTTATATAGAAGTCACAAGTAGGATCGGTTCATATTTTTTTTTTTTTTTTTGGAACCAAACTGATCCTATTTATGATAGAGATTATTTCTAATAACAAAAGAAAACATTTTTTTTGAATATAAAATACATTAAACTTTGACCTAGAAAGTCATAAATTTCGAATAATTCTATTTATTTCAGTGAACTTAAACGACAATTAAAAGTTCACCAGAACTCTGATGAAAAACTCAAAAAAATAACTGCTGTTCAACAAACTCAATCATCAAAGAAAAAGAACGAAACTACTACCGGTGGTGAAAATGATGATCAAGAAATTGATCCAAATGTATGTGTACTTTTTCTATTTAACAAAATTATTTCTGATTTCATTATAATTAGGAATATTATAAAATGCGATTGCATCATGTACAACAACTTAAAAAAGTTGGTGAAACAGTCTATCCACATAAATATCATGTTTCAATAACATCACGAGATTTTATTGATAAATATTCTCATTTAAAAAATGAAGAAATTAATAATGATATTGTATCTATTGCTGGTAAAGTCTAATTTATATTTTCATTATAAAATAAAAATAATATTTTTTTTTCTTTTTCATTTTTCTTAGGACGTGTCTATTCAAAACGTTCATTCGGAACAAAACTTTATTTCTATGATCTTCATAGTAATTCAGTTAAAATTCAAATTATGGCTAATGTCAAGTAAAATTATTTAAATTATGATTTCTTATTTAAATCTCATATGTAGATTTTATCATAATGAAACAGAATTTGTAACTGTAAATGAACGTATCCGTCGCGGTGATATTATTGGTGCTAAAGGCAAACCAAGTAAATATATCTGATATGATTTACTTTTGTTTTTCATATTTATTTCATTGATTTTAGCACGAACAAAAAAAGGTGAATTAAGTCTTATACCAAGTGAATTAGTTATTCTAACACCAACACTTCATCAATTACCTAGTTTACATTTTGGTCTTAAAGACAAGGTATTACATATTGTTAACGATATTTTTTCAAGATATTCTCAATTAAATATTATTATAAGAGTTTTTTTTGGAACTTACATTATGTTTTTCAAAGAAAAATACTAAAATGAATGTAAACTTGAAGTCAAAGTTTTGCAGCTTCCTTGCTCATAGAAATGGAAGACGACGGATCACAATGATAATCGGATACGGTTCGTTATCAACAAAACATGGTAGTGATTATCACTACATTGAACGGCATTAACAATATCAGTTAGATTATTCTTAAGCCTTTCTTGAAATTTGAATGATTAGAACACATTTGTGAGTTTTACGCAGATAAAAATGTATATTTAAAATGTCAAGAATGATGACGGGTAGTGATGCATTGATTTACCATAGTCACTATTTTATCAACATAAATAGAATGAAATAATCAATATCATTGTTTCCGAACTTATCTAGATATATGATAGTACATAGAAACCTGCTGTAGATGTAATCGATACGTACAATAGATTTATTTATCAATTAAATTAACAATAACACATGAATAGCCACAAGACAAACAAAATACAGAACACGAATAAAAAATTATGTTTGAAATGCAGAATTTAAATAAGACAGATTGTGTCCTTTGCAATTGATTACTTCCCTTCCTACGCCGAAATAGAAGATCATCGGTTTTTTCTAAAAGTTTTTTTTTTTCAGAAAAATCAGTGGATTTTGGAGGGTATCGTAGTTAACCATTTTGTTTTTTGTAATTACAATTATCTTGCTAAGAAAAAAAGTGTTGTTCAGAGTAAAACACTCGACTGCTTGTGCTAAAAATACCTATGTGAATATCAGAAAATTTTCTAGGTAAATATTAGCGCGTAATAGATGTCCATGGCTTTTTATTCTAGAAAGTATTAGTATAATGAGATTAAACAACATATATGAGTACCACATTTCATCCCTGCATTGACAAGACTATTTTTTTCTGATGAGTCATACTATCTCATTTATTGAAATTTTTTATAATTAAAAACTATAAACATGAAGTTTTTTCGAAATTATTTTAATGTTTTTTTCTTTTTGTTAAGGAAACACGTTTTCGTCAACGATACCTTGATTTAATGATCAATGATTCTGTTCGACAAAAATTTATTTTTAAAGCAAAAATTATTAATTATATTCGACAATTTCTTAATTCACTTAGTTTTCTTGAAGTAAACATTTTTGTTTATTATCTATGCAAAAATTCATTTTTTAGTTTCTAAATTAGGTTGAAACACCTATGATGAATATAATTGCTGGTGGTGCATCTGCTAAACCATTTATAACATATCATAATGAACTTGATATGAAATTATTTATGCGTATTGCACCTGAACTTTATCTTAAAGTAAATACGAAATTTTTTTGTTTTTTCATTCCTTCAAACATATATATTGAGTTTTTAATTGCTGAAAATTTTCTAGATGTTAGTTGTCGGTGGTTTTGATCGTGTTTATGAAATTGGTCGTGTCTTTCGTAATGAAGGTATTGATATGGCACATAATCCTGAATTTACTATGTGTGAATTCTATATGGCATATGCTGATTATAATGATTTAATGGAAATAACTGAAAAATTAATATCTAATCTTGTTAAACATTTATTTGGAACATATAAAGTAACATATCATTTGAATGGACCTGATCAAGCACCAATAGAAATCGATTTTACACCACCATTTAAACGTTTAAATTTAATGGAAGATCTTGAAAAAGCAATTGGTGAAAAATTTCCACTAGCTTCAGAACTTTCGACACCAGCAGCGAACAAATTCTTTGATAATCTTTGTAAGAAACATGATATTGAATGTAAAAATCCACGAACAACAGCTCGACTTATTGATAAAGTAATAAGAATAAAGAAAAAGAATCCTACCAGTACCGATGATCTATCTTAAACTAAGATACTACATATGTGGTTTTGTAGAGCAATTTACGACGCATTGAATAGTATATAAGAAATCAAATTTTTCATATATTCAAAGTCTGTGTACTGATTATAATCCTTGAGGCATGTGTAGAAATTTATTTTTTTTGCATGAAGATGAGATATGTATTGATTCTTGTAGAATTTCATTATTAAATGAAACCTAGATACTCGGAATTAAAATTTGAAAAAGTAGAGATCTCCATTCTACAATATAGTTCATTAGGGATGTTGTGCTGATTATTGATACATCAAATTTTTAATATGATCATTGAGTATTGTTAAAATATGGTCAATATACTGACCGCTTCATATAGAAAAATAGCCTATTCTAGAAAATAATCTTGCAAATTGATGATGAATCGTTGATTGATACTCACTTGTTCTATGTCACAGAATCAAACACATTGAAGTATCAAGTAGCCAAGAAATAACTTAAACCTAAGAAAAGAGACCGGTTTCAATTATGAAGAAAACAATAATGAAAAACTATTGATTATAGAAAATCGAAGAGCATCTGAAATTGTATTCAATTGAGTTTAGAAATAAAATTGACATAAGTTTATTTTAGAATATCTTAGGGATCATATAGATTTCTCAAGGATTATAACAAGTAAATGGATTGTCATCATATGAAAAATTTAATTTCTTATATACCATTCAAGACGTCGTAATCTGCTCTACAAAAACATATAAGTGATATCCTGGTTTGAAATAGATCACTAAATCGAGCAAAGTTCTTTAAAATTTTGTCTTTATAGCTGTCTGGTCATTTTCTTGAACCTCAATGTCTTCATCCAACATTTATGTGCAATCACCCACAATTGATGGGTCCTTTAGCTAAATAGTAAATTGTGAAAATAATAAAATTTTATTTGTTTTTTTCTTCTCTAATTATTCGTTTTCTAGTCATCGTTCAATACCAGGTCTTACTGAACGATTTGAATTATTTGTTTGTTATAAAGAAATATGCAATGCTTATACAGAATTAAATGATCCAATTGTACAACGAGAAATGTTTGAATTACAAGCTAAAGTAAAAAAAGGAAATTTAATTATGCTTTTTTTTTTTTTTTTTTTGTTTTTTGTTTATAAATTAAAAATAGGATAAAGCTGCAGGCGATGATGAAGCTCAATTAATTGATGAAAATTATTGTACGGCACTTGAATATGGTCTTCCACCAACAGGTGGTTGGGGTTTAGGTGTTGATCGTCTTACGATGATTCTTACTGATAGTAATAGTATCAAAGTAAGAAGAACACTTAACGATTATTTAACAACAAAAAAAATTCAATTGACTGTTTTATTTTCAGGAAGTTTTACTATTTCCATTAGTTAAACCATATAAAGAAGATGAAGAAACTCAAAAACCAGAAGATATAACAACGACAACAGCTGAGACTGAAACGAATTAATTCGTTTATATGTGTCTTGTGTTATGTTTTAAGATAATTATTATTAAAAAAAAAAAAAGAATATTCAAAGATGTTTCATAATTTTTTATTTTTATCAAAGTATCATATGCTTTTATAAATTCAATATGAGATTACGATGCTAGAAAATAGTTTCGACTAGTCGAGAGAAATTATGTCGTATAATAATTTAAATTCAATAATTAGTTCAATTCAATCAAGCAGAAGACAAACAATAATAAATGCATTTTATTGTTGCTTGTATTTAAATTGTTCAGTATGTTTTTTTACTATACGCTCAGTAATTAATTTACGAAAATTTACAAGGAAACTTCTTCAGTTACTCTCTTTTGATTTCAATGATGTTTTATATAGTGTTCTAATAATAATTCCCTAAAAGATATTCAGAGATTTGACTAAGCTATCGAACTTTTTTCTAGGCGTCCGAAATTTTGGAAAACTAGTTTTATTGAGTTTTGGTCTAAAACTTTGCGCATATAGAGAACTCAACTAGAGGAACTTACGTAGGAAAATTCAAAAGTTTTCAATGGAGTCTCTTCGAGATAAGAAACTTTCAAAAAAAAAATGTATGTCTGAAAGTCTCATATCTCGAAGAGACTTTGTTTAAAACTTGTAAACTTCTTTAAAGAAGTTGGTCTAGTTGAGTTCTGTATGCGTAACAAAGTTTAATGGAAATACATATAACCGTTCTATATAGTGTGTGCCATACCGACAATCAACCGGCTGTAGTTTGATACAGAAACAGTTGCCTATCTTCTGATCATCATTCTGCCACAAATATGTTATCAAGATTTTCTCGAACCATAAACACACTCTTTGGAGGTATGCCATGTCCTCTGTCCTCATACTAGATAAAACGCTGGTATACCAATAGTTGTTTTCTGATCGGCAATCTACTGCCGGTAGACCTTCGATTTTTATGAGTACTGTCTTTTTTAACACTGCATATAATTTCAGATTTTATGCTTAAATTTTGTTTGCGTTTTTCCTCTATTTGTCGTCCTCATTTGTCTACTATTCATTTATATCGAATGAGTTCTGAATTAAATCTGTTTATATTTGATTTCGATGAAACATTATCAGTTCGTTCATCATCTGATCCTATTGAAGAACTTGCTCATGATAAACAAAAATTAAATCTTGATGATATTAATTATCGTTATGAAAAATTACATCATTGTTGGAATATACGAATGAATGAAGTACATGAACGTCTTGCTCAACAAGGTATTCAAACAGAACAACTCATAAAAGCATTTCGTACAATTGAATTAAGTCCCGGTGTAGATGAACTATTTCATAATATATACATAAGAAATGGACGAATTGTAATAATGAGTAATGCTTGTGATCTTGCTATAAAAGAATGTCTTCAAGCTCAAAATCTATTTCAATATGTTTATAAAATTGAAAGTAATCCTGTACGTCAAATTGATCCAATTATACTAATTGATGAATATGAAAAACCTTTACAAACTACATGTGAAATATGTGAACCAAATCTATGTAAAGGTTCAATTATCGATAAATATCGAGAGAAAGATAAATTTGATAAAATAATTTTTATTGGTGATGGTAATAATGATGTTTGTGCAGCATTACGTTTAAATAAAAATGATATTGTCTTTGCTAAACATGATGAAAAAGATAATACTAAAATTTATCCAATGTATAATATATTAAAAAAACAATATTTTCATGAATTAAAATCTGAATTATTTATTTGGAATACAATGAAAGACGTTCAAGAAATATTAAAAATGAAAAAAATTCTTTAATATTTATTATTTTAGATGACATTAATAATTAATCAACGTTTGATATCTAGTAGTTTATCATCATTGATTATTTATCGACAATTTTGGAATTCATTAAATATTGTCTGGAACAAGTAAGGTATGCTTGATTTAAAAGTATGATTTGAAGAAATCAAAATATTTTTGAATATTTTGTAAAAATGATGAATTTTACAATGATTTTGTCTTATTCGGGAACCGGAACGATGAGCACGAGGAATGATGAGCACGGGCATTTTAAGCACGCACACAATCGAAATTAAATAGAATGTGGGCGAGCCTTGTATGTGGGTGTAGATTGGCAGTTACTGGACTGAATGGGATTTCAAAACCCTGCTCCTGTGGACTCGAAATCGGAGTTACAAAATCAGATTTTTCGGAAGCTAAATCGGGAAACGAGTTTTTCGGAATTGCTGCCGGCGTCAGAGAATTTTTCAATTTTTTTCTCAAAATGGGAGGGACTACCGGGATTTCTTTTTTTTGGGATTTATTTTCTCCATATGATTTGTTTATTTACTGAGGATTTATTAGGACATATTAGGTGTATCAGTATTTCAGTGCACCCTCATCATCGCTCTTGCCCCTCGTCTCATCCTCACCCTCATTAAGCCTTAGCCCTCAGGAGGAATTGTTTGAGATTTATTTCAAAATGTGTGGAGATTTATTAAAAAATCACAATAAATCCCAAAAAAATAAATCCCTGTAGCTGCTGGAACGTATCGGGCTGCTATTATGGTGGTGTAGAATGGAGAAAATGATAAACTTCAAGATTTTATGAGATTTTAAAAGGCTTTACGAGATTTGAAACGCAGAGACTTGAAACTTTCTAAAGACTTAGGGTGGCTTCAGAAGATTTCAATGAAAAGTCTCTGCTATTTCTCACTCAAATGTGGATGTGGCTGAAGAGATGATCAATATCTGCACCCGCCTACACGCTATTTAATTTCGATTGTGTGCCTGCTTAAAATGTCCGTGCTCATCGTTCACCAATCCGTCTTATTCAGGTATCAGACAGAAAAAAGGCGTCCAGAGTTCTTCGCTTTCAATTGTTGAAAATTGCAGAATGCTGACTATTGCTATCATTAAGATATTGAGTTTACGCTCACTTCTCTTTAATTTTGACACGGACATCAGTGTATTCTATTTAATGGGTTCTATGCTAAGATTTCTAAAAAACTAGACATCGTAGTTTTCAAGTCTCGGAAACTATTTGTTAACAATACCATTTTAAAGAAAACAAAATGAAGGATCGCTGCATTTTCTACGATCTTTCATTGAAAAATTAAAAGTATCAGAAAAACCAAAAAAAAGGCGTTTTCTCGTCAATTGTTTGATAAACTTCCTTTTTGTGATACTCTTAAATGTCTAGGGGAAAGTTGTAGAAAATACGATGATCCCTTATTTTGTTCTCTTTAAAGTAGTATTGTTAAAAACAAAAAATAGTCTTCTTGTATCTAAACACTATCGTATCCGATTTTTTTAAAAGCCTTGCCGTCATAGTTCATTTTATAAAATCTTGATATAGAATGTATCAGATAAAAAAACTTCATTAGTTATTAAAAAATTGTATCTCTTTTGAGAATGAATGATCACTGCGATAAATGATAACACTAGAAAATTCGTCATTACTGTTGCATAATTAACTCAAAATGGATTATAGTTTTTTTCTCGTGGCTGTCTACCTATTCTGATCCGGTATGTCTCCAGTCACAGTGCAAAGGTACATAGAATTCAATTGATCAGTCAAATAAGTTCTAATGTTCTTAATAATGATTGACTTATCTAGTTTGAATATATGCTTTCGTTTATCTGATAGATTTTCTTTAGATATGATCGAAAACGTGTACAAGAAATAGGACCTGATCGTGCTTGTGCTGAATGGTTATTACGATGTGGTGGTTCAGTACGTTTTAAAAATTGGGGTACATTTACATCAAATTATAATGCATTACCAATTGGTGCTCCTGGTCAATTTAAAATTGAAGAAATTCGAGCTGTAAATGCATGTATTACACCTGAAGGTTTTGCATATTTAGGTCATTGAACTATTTCATTATTATTTTATAATTATACTTTCGATTTTCTTTTTGCAGATGGCCTTACTGATTTAAAGAAAATTCATTTAGAAAAATGTGATCAAATTGGCGATAGTATACTTATTGAATTGAATTTTTATTTAATTTAATGTTATTAATTTAGGTTCTATTGCTCGATGTAATAAAGTGAAAGATACATTAGAATCTATAGCACTTATTGATTTAACTCAAATAAGTGAAAATGGTCTTGCTTATTTAGCTGGATTAACGTATGTCAATTGTTTCATTATGACATATTATAAAAAGTTTATCTTTCTAGAAATTTAAAACATGTTGTTTTGTCTCGTTTGCTAAGTATAAAACATCGTGAAGCAGTACTCAAGTTATTGAAAAATGAATTACCTCGATGTACTATTAATTATGATGATGAACATCCTTCATCTAAGGAACTGAAAGAAAAATGAACATGTTTTCTTTTGAAATAAATCTCATAATTAAAATTTGTTTCAGTTATATTTATTTAATAAAATCATTGATTTGTTGATTATCAAGATAGTTTTATAGAAAACAACGAATTCTATGTATAAAAGTCAAATTCAAAATAAAGTTTCATATTATCTAATGTTATTTTACAATAATCGAGTACAAACTGATGATGTTCTCTGTTTCTATTGGTCGTGAAATGAGTCGGAGGTTCTTGTTAATAGTCAATGGTGCAGAGTAAACCAATCAATTACATTAGAAAACAATATCTGTTTTTCCCTTAGAACATTGAGTCATCTTCCAATATTTTTATAAATATTTTGCATCTAGTTTTCTTTTTAAAGATTTCTATTTAATGGCATCAACAGAGAGAACTTCTATCGATAATAATAATACTTCATCCTCATCTAATCATAACGATGAAAAGAAAACATCATCAAATCATGATAAAGAATCAGGTTTTGAGTGCAATGTAAGTTCTTCTTATCTTTTGTTTATATAAACAGTTAAATTCAAACAAAAAAAAAATCTAATATATAGATTTGTCTAGAAACAGCTCATAATGCTGTTTTATCTCTTTGTGGTCATTTATTTTGTTGGCCATGTATTCATCAATGGTTAGAAACACGTGCACATAATCCAACATGTCCAGTATGTAAAAGTAGTATATCACGTGAAAAATTAATTCCAATCTATGGACGAAATGCTCCTCAAACTGATCCACGGTTTTTAAATATACTTCTTTTTTTTGTTTATCTTCAATAAATATATATGTTAAATGATTTTATTTTAGAGATACTATACCACCAAGACCAGCTGGTACAAGACAAGAAGCTCGTCAAAATCGAGTAAATAAAATCAAAATTAAGAAAAATTATTTTTCTTTTTTTTCTATTTGATTTTATTAGAGTTTTGGATTTGGTGAAGGTGTTAATTTTCAAATGTCATTTGGTGTTGGTGCTTTTCCATTTGGTCTATTTCAAACAACATTTACAACCAATAATGCAAATCATTTTTATGATCCACGTATAACAGATTTTAAAAAAAAAATGAAATTATTTTATTTCTCTCTTTTTTTTTGGTCTTTAGCACCACCTGGTACACCTGAACGATATCAACATGAATTATTATCACGTGTATTTCTTGGCATTGCATTAGCCGTGATTTTATTTATTATATTTAATTGATTTTTTTTTTGCTGAAACATGAGTTAAATACTTTTTCTATTCCTTTTGATTTTATTTGTATGTGTAAAACAAAAGAGACGAAAGAAAAAAAAAACAATAATATTAAAAAAACCAAAAGAGCTTCTAAGACTATTTTTTCTATGCACCTTTTATGTGAATTTTATTGTAAATATATAAATGATTAGATCACTAGGAAATCAATTTTTTTTTCCTTCTTTTATATTTCAGATACAAAAAAACAAATTTATAAATAATGATAGATATTCTATTTATAATGTAAAAATTCATGAAAGTAACTAAATATTTCATTGTTTTTCAAATAGTAAGTATTTTATTTATATGAGTCATGTCAAACAAAATAGAACACAGCCACTTTTCGTTTAACTTTCATTTTTTTTGCAAATGGTATTTTTCTGTATAAATTCTTAGCCAGTATCTCTCTAACCGTATGAGAAAATCTTTAGAATAGATTCTACGATATAAACTGCATTTAGGATGACATTTTCAGCAAGATTACACTTTAGATATTTTCCTCGCAAAAAAATGATATTCTACAGATTCTAACGAAGAATTTGAATTTCTCATTCGGTTATAAGAGTATTTTTCGGTATTCGGTCACGTAGCTAATGAAAAGTGTAAATCGATTTTTTTTTAAAATATCTTGGTATGGTTAACAAAAAATTTCGAATACAGATTTTGTTGCCTCAAGTTAGAGTTTTCTTTAAACTAAAATGTAAGCATCTCATGTTCTTAGATATTTAAGACTCGAAATTCTCTCATGTGTAAAAGCAAATTTTCTTCACATATTTGCATCTTCGGAAAGGAAATATTAATATCACAATTAAGTAATCTCATTAGGAACTTTGTTCATGCATATTTTTAAGATGGGACATATAAAAATCAGCTCAAATAAAGTTCATTATGCCCATATATCGATAGATATATGTACTCGAATTTCTCAACTTTTCTTCCATATTGATATTGCAATTAGAGATGAGATCGGTTCGATTCTAAAAAAAAACACAAACTAATCCGATTTCATATTTCTTGTCATAATCGTATCATTTTCTCTATTAGAAATCTTACATGGATTGATTTTTTAATGAAATTTAACAAAAAAAAAAAAAAAAAAAACTATATCAACATCAATAAACAGAAAAAATTAGCTTAAAAAATATTGACATTCCTTATACATGTCATTCTATTCAGACATTCAGAAAAATAGTTCGTAGCTTAATCCAGAAGGTAAAAAATTCATAACTCGCTAATATGTGAAAAATTTTCAATAAAAAATAGCATGATAAAGTAAAACACATGCTTCACTATTAATAACTTATCATAAATAAATGAATTAGTAAATGAAAATGAAAAACAAACATGACAATTCATTGACATTATTTATTACATCAATGTCATTGTTGTATTTGCCAACATCAAATGATGTCATGAAATATAAATGTATGTCAAATTATAATAGAATTGACGTTTTCAAATATAAAAATTTCATTATAAAAATAGATATATTCAAAACAAAAAGAAAAACATATCGACTCATTATCCAGACATTCTTAATGAAAATGATGTAATCGCGTGATCTTTTTTTTTTTCTTTCTTTCTTATTCTGAAATACATATTCAGCAATCTTTACAGTCACGCTAACAATTCTTTATGTTGATTCCATGAATTTATTTTTTGAGTCTTATTTATCTGCGGAAATGGAGAATTTCGTATAAACAAATATCTCAAATAAAGGAAGTACGTCATTTCAAGTTAGTAAACTGCTTAAACCAATTCTTAACATCCTTTTCTTTTTGTCTAAAAAATGATCTGTCATGTCAAAGAAAATCTATTTATAATTTTATATCATTATTTGAACTTCATGATCTGTTCATAGTAAAAAATTTCAGTTGAACTTTGTTAGATGATATAAAATTATGAATTTTGAAGTTCTATACTCTCATTTAACAAACATCATTATTTCTTTTGATAGTATAAATGAGATGAAATCTAATCATGTTCATTTGCTCTTCCTACTTCTTTATTACACATTCAAACCTGATTTTGTAAAAATAAAACAAAACTCTTGTAGATAAAAAAAAAAAAACAACGTCAATATTGATCTATCTTTTCTTTTCCTGCAAAAGAAATTCATATCAGTTATACATTCTTTTCTGTTATTATCAGAACGTGACATATTGTATTTTTAATAAATATTTAATATTACACAAGAAATTTTTTGATCGAAATCTTTATGATATTTTATAATAAGAATATACTAATATCCTTTCCATATTGCAGTTAATTTAATAAAGAAAATATAGCCTTTTAGTTTTTTTCTATATTCCATATTAACTAGTATTCATAAATAAATTCAATTATATTAGCTACAGATTATAAAATAAGTATGCTTTCTCAATTGACCTAGATTAGTCTAGGTCATCGTAAACAAAATATACAATTTTTCTTATTGATCATATTAATTGAACTTATTTGTTTTTTATATTGTTACTTTTTATTATTTTCATTAATTTTCAATATAGAACAGAAGTCTTTAGAAATGAAGCTTGCAAATAATCCATGCTTTCATATTATTTATTCATTAGTTCATGCCTTTTAGCATTGTATTATTATTGACCGTACTATATTATTCTAAAGAAAATTTTTTCGCTTCTAGGTATAATTACGGCAATAGAAAATATTCTGAAGTGAAATAAAAAGGCAGTCTTTTTTCTTTTTTTTTCTTTCTATTTCTCTAGAATAAACACAAAATGGTAACCTAGAACCGGTGTATACATGAATGAATTCACATCAAGCATCATTAAGGTTTTCCTAGATTTCTTCATAAGTATTCACTTTACTTCTATAGTAAATCGTATATTGAATATAGTAGAAATTATCAGAAAAACTATATATATATGTTAATATGTACGCTATTGATTTATTTTGCGGATGTTGATGGAGGAGGAGTAGTAGAAGGAAAAAATAAGGAAACGCTTGCTTTCGGGAAGATGATTGTGCTACCATTATGTTTTGACATGTGGGCAAAGCAGAAAAAAAAAAGTCGCCAGTCATCATCATCGTCGTTTTTCTTCTTTTTTTCTTGTTTTTCTTTTTATTTATCATTACCGTTGATTCGAGAAAACGACAGATAGTGTAAAGCAAGGAAAACTAGCATAAAGAAAAAGAAAGAAGCAATGTCTACTATTTCTCAAGTGATTTTTTAGATGATCTATACACACATACATAGCAGATCTATAATGACAACCGACAACAACAATACAATCAATGTCTTTGTTTTATACTAACACATTATTATATTATATTAATTTATTTGATAAAGATGCTTATTAAAGAATATCGTATTCCGGTTCCTATGACTGTTGATGAATATCGTATCGCTCAATTGTATATGATTGTGGTAGGTAACCAAGCTTCTTTTTTCTTTCATAATACCCCAAAATTGATATATTAAAAATGCATTTTTTAGAAACTTCAGAGGTAAAAAAAATAAAAAAAAAATAACTAGAACTAAAAGAGGTTGCACTGCTGCACGTTTTGTTAGAAATTTAACTATTATAACTGATTACTAATAATTTAATTTGATTCTTTTGTTGTTTTGCTCATGTTAAAAAAAAAAATTCTTTAGAAAAAAAGTCGTGAAGAAACGAATTCTTCCGGTAGTGGTGTTGAAATAATTAAAAATGAACCTTATACAAATGGACCTGGTGGTAATGGACAATATACATTTAAAATTTATCATATTGAACGTCATTTACCTGGTTGGTTTAAAGCCATATTACCAGCGAATGCAATGAAAATTGAAGAAGAAGCATGGAATGCTTATCCATATACAAAAACACGTTATCGTTGTCCATTTATTGATCGATTTTTACTTGAAGTTGAAACATGTTATCAAGCTGATTTTGGGACACAAGAAAATATATTTAATTTAAAACCACAAGAAATTGAACAACGTGTTGTTGGTTTGTACATTTTCGATGAATAAAAATAAGAAATAGAAGTTAACAAATATTTTCTTTTTTTTGTTTTTTCATTTAGAATTTCTTGATATTGTTCAAAGCCAACCATTAGCAGATATTCCAACAGAAAATCCAGCGATATTTCGTTCAGAAAAAACAGGTTTGATAAAAAAAAAAAAAAAAAACCTTTCTTTTATGGTTATGTCATCTTAATTATTATCTATTATGATGGACAAAAGTTTAGAGTTAGTGTATTTTTAAGTTTTCTTCTTTATGGTAATAGTTAAAGAAGAATCTGAAAAAAAAAAAACATCTCATTTTATTCTATTAAATAAAATCACTTCAAAAATGTTTATCAATCATAATAGAGAATTCTCTTAGTTACTCAAATGTCTTTTCATTTCTATTGTACAAACCTCTAGTTCGAAATGACCTTGACGAAAATATATAGCATGTAGACATATTTATCTGACAAATTATGACAAAGAGAACAGAAATCTTCAGAATAGTCGATCTATTCTAATTTCTATTTGTTTCTTCCATTAACTAAAATACATTAAATTCATTATGCTTGAATTGAAAACTTCCTGTGACATTTGGGAAATTCGATTATTAAATTTATTCTATACATTATTTCTGTGTATCGGTCTGATGAGTTTCATGTCAAGTGTAACAAACGATGAAATTCTTTTATTGATTAGTTTTTATTTAGATCGAGGTCCTTTATCATCGGATTGGTTTGAACAAATAAAAAAAGCTAATCGAAAAGAATCTATTATGTGTGCTTATAAATTATGTCGAGCAGAATTTCGTTATTGGGGTATGCAAAGTAGATGTGAAAGATTTATTCATGAAATAGGTAAATAAAAAATAAAAATAAAGCAAAACAATAAACAATAATTATAAATTTTAATGGAAAATTTTTCTTTTTTTGGATTTAATAGCTTTACGTAAAACTATATTACGAGCACATCGACAAGCATGGTGTTGGCAAGATGAATATCAAGGTTTAACATTAGCTGATATAAGACGTTTAGAAGATGAAACACAACGTGAATTAAATAAACGTATGGCACAATTTCAAAATGAAAATATTCGTTTATCATTAAGCCTTCAAAATTATGAAAATGAAAATTCAACAAAATCATCTGATTCAACAAATAATATTAATCAATCATTAACAATAAAACGAAGTCGACAAATGTCTATTGATAATATTAATGCTAGTAGACCAAGAATAAATTCATTTCCAGTACCACCATTACCAAGAGATGAAACACATGATGATGAATTCTTTGATGCTGAATGTAAGCCTATTTCAAATAATATATTTTTTCTTATTCTCTAGTGATAAAAAGCAGACAAAGGTTACAAAATAGAATCCTATTAGTTGCTATCGACATCATGTCAGATGTGACACAATAAGACGCTTAAATGAAATAAACATAAGAGCATATGCTTGTTGATCTTTATTATTAATCAAATTAGATTTATATGGCAGAAATATATGATTGTCTGTTTCTTTTCACAGATATTTGGTGTTTTTCAATATTTTATTTTTATGCATTTATTTATGATAATAATCTTGTTTTTCAAAGAATGATGAATGTTTAAGAAGTTAAGCCTGGATTGAAGTTCACATGTACTTAGGACAATGTTTTATATGGCATGTTATCCGATGACATTATCTTTTGAGTTATTAGTGACATCAACAAAAGGAATGTGATAATTAGAGTGTACGCACAGAGGATAACTACAGCCCTACACTGTATGCTACGAGATCCATAAGTACAGACACTAGCGGTTGGATAAAACCTATCGATATGTCGTTGTCTTCGGACGAGTTTCACGAAGTCTGTTCGATTATTTTCATCCTACTTACAAGTCTATTAGACAACAGATTGTGTTGGTTTTGTTTTTAATACTTCTGATTTAATAATTAATCGAAAATTTTCTATTCCTAGCTATTATCGAAGGTATATCAAATTTACGTTCAAGCCGTAGTATAATACATTCAGTAGAAGATATTCAATTGAATGATTCAATGAATTCAGGTTCTCAACAATCTAGTCTAGATGATGATGAACGAATATATGGACTATCAGCATCAGATGATAACAGCAATAAATGTGCTATAGAAATTTTGATACTTATTTTTTATGGTGGTAAGTTTTTTATTTCTTTTTTTTTTTTTTTATATTTCTCTCTTCGAAATATATATATATTTAAAATAGGTAATATATTTTCAACAGAAGATGCTTTTGTAAGTGCTAAAAAAACTGATTTTCTCAGTTTTCGTTCAACATTTGATACTGTCATGAGAAATCATTATTTACATGTCGAAGGAAAAATAGCTATACGTTTTGTTGAATGTCGTTCTATATGTATTGAAGCTATAAATTTACTGAATAATTTATCACCATATGGTGCCTTAAATACAACATATGACATATCACATAGTGAAACATTACCCATAAATGCCATACCATTATTTGCAACATGCAATCCCGGTTATCAAACAACATTAGCAAATGCTGTTGCATCAGCTAATAAAGTTTATCAAGAATTTATATCATCAAAAGAAGGAAAATATTTTTCTGGACAAGTGAGATAAGAAAAGAATGAACAAAAAAAAAATTTTTTTTTTTTTTTTTTTTTTTAACCAAAAACTAAAATCATATTTTCAGGTTGTTATTATTGGTGATGCTAATGGTGCAATTTTAGCTTATGATGCACTTTGTTTAAATCATACTTTAGAAGATACAACTTCATTATATGGTGAAGGTAATCTATTAAAATCAATAATACAAAAGTTTAATGATTGAGAGATTAGAAAAATAAAATGCAAATTGTTTTGAAAGATTTTATTCAATATTTTATTTTCTGAAGACATGTGGATTTGAATTCTTATATAAGATAATGAAATATTAAATTATTTATGTATCTTTTTCTTTGTTATCAGAAGGTTCAACACCACGTACACCTGCACTGAGTAAACGAACGATAAAAGATGGTAATGATACATGTTCAGGACAATCGTCAAATCGACTAAATACAAAAACTACTTTAACAAATGATAATTTCGAAACAAATGATAACTTGTAAGATTTTAGTTATATTTTTCTTTAAGAGATTATATTTAAATTAGATCATATTCTAGTGATAATCTTCGTGCTAGACAAGAAAATTCTAGTGCTACATTAACATTTGATGTCAATGAATTCTTTTCATTTGGTTCACCTCTTTCACTTATTCTTGCTTATCGACAAATGGTTACTGATAGTGGTAATCGATTTTTGTTTTTTGTTTTCTTATTATTAATGTCCATAGCTATATGTATTTTAAATATAAATTAGTTGTTCGTCCCTATTGTGGACAATTGTATAATTTATTTCATGCCTGTGATCCAAATGCATCGCGTATTGAACCATTAATACAATCAGAATTTAGTCAAATACCTCCATGTTGTATTCCTCGGTATTCACAATTTCCTTTAGGCGATGGAGAATCAACATTACTTAGTAAAAATTGTTTTGTTTTTTTTCTCATTTCATTTAAAATTTTGTTTTTAATTAAATAGTTGAATATATTCATCAATGTTCAAATTTATTTTTAAATAATAACAATACAAATCAATTACCAAATGAAATTAACACTCTTTTGTCTGATAGTAAGATAAAATTTCAATTGAAATCAAATGAAATTTTTCAATAATTCTAGTTCGACAAACTTGGTGGGGTTCAAGACGTGTTGATTATATTGTTTATTGTCCAGAATTTTTAATGAGTCAACCAGCACATGTTTTACCGATTGTTTTTCATTCAAGTTATTGGGAATCACGTGATGTTATGTCATTTATTTTACGAAATGTAATTATTCTTTTTATTGCCATTTTAACAAATAAATCTTTGTTTTTGTTTTTTATTTGTTAATTCTTTTTACATAGATTACACGTAATCAAGAACAATTTCATTTATTTAATAGTCATACAAATACGAATCCATGTTCTTTTGCTCCTATGAAACCAACTGAACGTTGGTTACATCGTACAACAGGTGTTAAAATACGAGTATGAAATGGTTTTTTTTTTTTTTATTAAATTTCAATATCATCATTCAAGTTTTCAATCTTAATTTTAGAATTTAGCACCAAATCATCGAGGAAATGATACTATGGTTGTTGATGCACGACCACAGACAATTCATGCAAAATTTCATTATGGACCTATTGATATGGTTTGTTTAGTAAATGAAAAAGTTGATATTTATGTTATGAGATCAGCTCCCTATGGAGAATGGACTTTACTTAATACAGTCGAAACAGATACTCATGGTCGTATACGATATACAATATCTGATGATAAAAAATTACCATTAGGATTACATCCTGTTAAACTTGTTGTTCGGTAAAATTTAATTTCTTTTAAATACAAAAAAAAAAAAAAAGAAATTACTTTTCTTTTTTGTTTATTTTCTTAAAGTGGTGATCATACAACAGTTGATCTTTTTCTAACTGTATTACCACCAAAGAGTGAAGCAGTTATATTTAGTATTGATGGTTCATTTACTTCAAGTTTTTCAGTTAGTCATCATGATCCTAAAGTACGACCTGGTGCTGTTGATGTCGTAAGGTAAATAAAAGAATTTTTATATTGATGAAAATTTTAAATAGATTTAAATAGATATTGGCAAGAATTAGGTTATATTATTATTTATATAACAGCACGTCCTGATATTCAACAACGTCAAGTTGTTCATTGGCTTGCTCAACATAATTTTCCTCATGGTTTGAAACAATGAGTATTTAAATGTTTAGTTATTATTTGTTTTTAGGTATGACATTATTCAATGATGGTATATATCGTGAACCAATTAAACATAAAGCTGAAATGTTACGAAATGTAGTTGAAAATGCTGATTTAGTTATAACGGCTGCATATGGTTCAACAAAAGATGTTTCTGGTTATCAATTGATTCATGTACCACCTGAAAAACTATTTGTTGTTGGTAAAATTAAAAATCGTTTACAAGGTCAAGCACGTTTTCTTACTGATGGATATGCCTTACATTTAAGTAAATATAAAATAATATTTGATAATTAAGAAAAACAATCATGAGATCATCGAGTATATGAGATACTCGATTAAGATTTTTTTTTTTTTTTCGTTTTGTGCATTCAATACATCGATATCTGAAACTAACACAATGCAAATTGTTAATTCCTCAAAAGTAGATCATCATCTAATTGTTGTAATCTGTTTTTTGGCTATTGTAGAATTTCGTTATTGAAGTTGAATAATGAATTGTAAAGTGACACCATTTTTTCAGTTCAATCTGTTATAAAATAATTCCTTTTGTTCAGCTTTTAATTCTCTATCTTTTTTAGAACAGAAAAAAAAACGAATGATTCGTTGAAACAAAGACAAACATCACATTAATAGGGTATTTTTTTGGCTGTTGTTTTTCTCATACAGATATGATAGTGATGAAAAAAGTCGATATTAACTATTTCTGAATGCAAGTAGGATATTGAACGATAAAATTTTGGGACTCATGATTTTAAACATTGATGCATTGAATGCACAAAAAAAAGTCTTTTTTTTCTTGTTGAATGCATCATATAATCGATGATCTTATGATTGCTTTCTTAATTATTACCTTTATTTAAAGCTGAACTTTCTAAACCTGGTATGGTTCGACCATCAAAATCAAATTCTCGTCATTTGGTACGTCGAGCTTGTTTTAATTTGCCTAAATTAGTAACAATAACAACAGCTCAATCATCTACATCACTTATTAATACAAAACAATCAGGTTCACCAACATCCCTATCGGCAATATCGATGCCAACATCACAACATCCAGTTATTGATCAATCATTATCAGCACCTTTAACACATCGAAAAATCAATTTATATGATGATACAAATGATTCTCAACATCATCATCGTTTAATATTAAGTCCATCACAATCAAAAGAAGCTCCGTCACGCGGTATTTCACCTCGTATTAATCGTAATAAAACACCAACAAGTAATATTTATAATCCTTCATCGATTGAAAAAATATAGTTATTACTTGACACGTTATTTATTTCTTTATCTTCTATTTGTCTTGTATTTCAATCTATTGGCTTATGTGGAAGAGAGGTGTCGATTAGTTTCGTTTTTTTCCCTCATGTGATAAATGACAGCTGTCTTCGTACATTGATTTCACCTTCTTTTTTTCTTCTTTTTCGAGTGTGTGTGTGTGTTTGTTTACATGTAAAGATATATATATATATATATATTTCTCTTTTTTTGCGATTGTGTATATTAATAAAAGGATATATTATATTGGCTTATTTGCATTCAATTTATTCTCAAGATTAAATGGAAAAAGAGATTATTCCTGCTCCCTCATCGGCTGACCTTAAAGGTAGAAAATATAACTCGGATAGCTTTATAAATAATTATATGTGATTTTTGCTTCTTTGTTGATGAAAGAAAAACAATATTATGATTTTGTTTTTCAAATGTTTGTTAGCTTTTTGTTGTAAAAGAAAATTGTTTCGAAAATATTTTAGAACTATTCGTTGAAGCTCATGCGGCTAAATATAAAGCTTATTGTCCCTATTCAAATTTTCGGTATGAAGTTAATATATAATTTCTCTAATAATATATTTGTCGTCTATTTAATTAGAGTAGGAGCTGCTCTATTAACATCAACTGGAAAAATCTATTCTGGATGCAATGTTGAAAATGCTTCTTATCCATTAAGTACTTGTGCTGAGCGAACAGCGCTTGTAAAGGCTGTTTCTGAAGGTGAAATTTCATTTGAAAAAATTGTTATTACATCGTAAGTTTGTTTTTTTTTTTAAATCAAAAGAAAGTTTTGAGAAATAAAATTATTTCTTTTCATTAGTGATGTTGAATCTGGTTTTACTGGTCCATGTGGATCATGTCGACAAACATTAGCTGAATTTGGTCTTGATTTAGATGTTTATCTTATTAATCCAAAGAATGAATCGAAACAGTATAAACTTCGTGAATTATTACCCATAGCTTTTACACCATGTGACCTTCAAAAATCCCGTACAAGTCATAATATTATTCAATAAACTTTCTTAGATTTTTTTCCTGAAATATTCAGTTTAATAAATTTAATAAAATAATTAATATATAATTGAGTTATATAGAATATATCAGCGATAATAAGAATAAATATATAATAGAAGTCTGTTTTCGACCGCAAATGTCACAAGAAAATTATTTTCTTACCAGGGCTCTGCGTGGGATGGGATAACCCCATCTCATGTCATTCTATCGATCCCATGGGACAAACCTCTATTACAACAATCTGTTCTTGTTTTATACAGACAACACAACTGTTTTGAAATAGATGTCTCTCTATCGTCGAAATATAAACATAGTTATGATGAAATTATGAAATACAAAATGTGCCTTCATATTTTGACTGATTAAGGGTGCAACAAAAATTTTAAAACATTCAATTGGAATCAGAATCTTTGTGGAACCGATAGAATTAGGAATTATGAGCTAAACTTCACAAGGTCTTACATTTCTTTTGTTTCACCGCATCAAGTCTGGTTCGAGCTCACTTTTTTGATCACTCAATTTCTATTTTTTTGTCAAAAACTTGTTTTGACGAAGAAGAAAGTCTATTTGCAGATCGAATATGTATTTTAAATAAAACTACCGCATCTCAACTACTTCATGACTACAAATGATATTAATAATAAGAGACTTTCGTTTCACATACTGTCATGGAAGAATAGAAGAATTCAATTTAATTTAAATTTAATAAAATTTAACTTGTATCCAATTTTTAATTTATTTTAAATTTTAATTTTAAATAAATTAACAGGAAAATACCACCCCTAATTGGTATGGTGAATAAGATTAGGTGAGAGTCTGAATATGAGGCTCTGAGTGCCAGTGACGACGAGACACGAGACAAAAAAAGCAGAAACAGCGTAGCATTCAAAGAAATCTAAAGAAAGAAGCTAGGAGGTGTTGGATGACTAATGGAATGTAGAACGGATCAGATGATTAATGGAAGGAATCTGCCTATGACGCTCCATATTCTTGCACAACATAAATCACCGATGAATTGGATCGGCTTAAAACATGAGCTATGGAGAGAGTCCTTCTTGCAAAGCGACTTTACTGATTCAAACCATAACTTTGCCGTTAGGTGATTATTTAATGGCTATGGGATTTTGAGCGCTGATTGCTTACTACGATGAACCCTCTAAAAAATCAGTTATTTTAAATATAAATGGGTGAAAGTGCTTCTGCTATTGGAGGCGATCTATCTATGATAAGATTTAGACCCACTCGGTACATTCTAATGGTTGATAGGCAACGGAAAAAAAACAGCCACTATTGATTTTCTTCCTATGAATTGGCTCGAAATTTCATTCATGCTGAGGTTTTAAAAAAGTGAACTTCAAGTACTTATTGTCATTATTTCTTATATTCCTAAACTTCTTTTATTTCTATCTTTCTATTATGGTGTGATTATTACAGTCAAGGAAATTTAACGAATTTCAGTACTTTCTTGTTTGGAAATTTGTATTTGTCCTCTATTCTCTAACTGAAGTATATTGAACAGTCAATTAGAAAGACGGATCAAATACATGCAATTAAATGGTTGAAGATAAAAGTGATAATTGACAAAATCGAGAGAAACCGTCTTTTTTTATTCTTGAAATCCAGTTTGCTGAAAAAGGTACATAAAAAATGACACAAGATGAAGAAAGGAATTTCGGAATCAAGAGATATGAAAAATGAGGCAATGCCCTATTCGAATATCGTTAAGTAATCTAAAAATAATTTTACAATTCTTATTATTCTTTTAGATAAATAGAAAGGCTTCGGTAACAGTATTGGCTTCAGCTTCAGCTCCAACATCGGATGGAAATGAGGAATGGGCTTGTGAACATTGTACATTCTTGAATAATTCATCGACAACGATATGTGACATGTGTTCACGATCACGTCCCTCCTCACATTTGAGTACTTCTAACTCGAATATTTCAGCTTCTGCGGTTCAGAATGTTCGTATTTTCTGATATTTTTGTAATAATTTATCACTTGCTAACATCGTTGTAGAAAGACAACAAGACTGTGATACCAGCATTTCCATCTTCTTTGACAGCATGATCTGGCAAAAGCGATCAATGGACATTATCTGATATATTCAAATAAGATAATTCCAAACATCACTTTGAGATCATCTTGAGCTTTCATAATACGAGCTGTTTTTCAACATGAAATTATAATTTCAATGTTATTGCTAAAAACAACAACTCCGAAGGATGATGTCGATATTTTCATTAGAATGAATTTATTCAACGAATGATAATAGACTCTGCTTTCCATAGAATTATATGAGAATGTGATCGACTTGGATCATAGATCTCTCTATTAAATAAGCACAGCAATGAAACACCTACTAAAAAACGTTTTTTTTGTTCAAATGAACAGAATAGAAAGAAGGTTGAAGCTTGAAGCTCATTCGTTTGGCATATATGAGTCCATCCGGTTTATTGTTTCGGTCTGAAATGATTAAAAAATTCCTCAGACTCTCCTGGTTCGTTCATATTTACGTCTTTTCTATACGTCCGAAGCCGTTACGTCATAATTCAATACATCCGAATCTTTACGTCCTCATATAATACATCCAAATCTATACGTCAAAATCCATGTACATTCATTGTATAGAATAGGACGTGTCAGATTTAGAGGTATGGAAAAGAAAATGTTATAACTAAAGTAAAAGTTTATTTGAGATTTTGCTGTACTTTTGGTTTTCCTAAGAAATGACTTAATATTTATTTAGCAGCGTTTCCCAGAGAAATCATAAAGCGGATTATATGGCATATATAATATCTCCCTTACTAAGTCTGGCCAAAATCCAGCCCAACAAGTCTCCAGTCATAAGTTTGAGTGTGCTGTACGATTATACATTCTCGTAATATTTCTTTTGCTTTTTTGAAAAGACATTCTTTTTACCGTGTACAATTCTTCGATATGGTAGTACTTTAATCCCCGATTAATTGTCAGTTATACTGCCGTATACGTTGGCTCTAGTGATTGCTGCACTATTTTACATAGTTAAACCCATCTTAGTAAGCAAGATCAAGAGAAAAATTATGAATCTCATCTTAAGTAACAACGTGAAAAGACTCTGTCTATGATTTACTTCATTATGAAAGATCGCTTCAGTTTCTTTCATCAGTAAAATTGTGATGAAAAAACTTTTAAAATTAAAGTATTATTCGTCGAACGGCGACAATACGCATGGTTTCTCTTTGCTTTCTATGGAGTGTTTAGTGTGCCAAACTGCTTCTCAGTTAATAAATTTAATCATTGAAGACATTCATACTGAATTATCATATGATGTATCCAGAGGTTTCTGCTTCTATTTTTCAATGGATTGATATTCAATTGAAACGCCGGATTGAAAGCCAATTATAATGACACACTTTCACTCGATTAAGATCAATAACGAACTGTAACGCATAGCAATTATTCAAATTTTTCAGCCTCAATAGGCTGAAAGCGTGTCATTACAATCGACGTCTAATCCAAGTCTGCATGGGTAAGAGAAGAACAATGGTTTCGTTTACAAGGTAAAGTTTAGATGTCGTCGTATATTTGACGAAGTTGTGTTGCAAAAAATGTTTTTTTTTCCATTCTGTAAGAAAGAGATCCTTTTTTGTGGGTAATTTTATTATATTTCAGATTTCTGTTCGTTGAGAAACGCGAAACAATTACAATACAACTGCAAATTACAACGATTTCTTCGCTCAATAAATATAAGACAATGAATAAAATTGCAAAAGAGAAAAATACAAACGTTATTTAGATGCATTGCTTAAATTGCGTTTGTTCAAAAATATATCGCTATCGAGCGTGTCTATAAAATATTCCTATTAGTCAAGATGTATAATCAATACATTCCAATAGGGAAAATCTTATTATTAAATACTACTTAGAACTCTATCTAAATACGCTTAGTAATTACTAAAATAAGATGCTTCGATAAATGGAGAAAAATTCAAAGATATGATGAGGGGAGTCATGTCTGAAAGTGAAACCTATAAAACGCAAACAAATGTAATGTTTACTTTAGATAATAAAAATGATTCATACACAGAAAGAATATTGTAACATACAGTTAATCATCTTTATTCAAATAACCTGTCCAAGCTTCGCGGAATCTTTAAGTACTAAAGTTTATTAATGGCAATAAACTAGGCTCTCTGTAAGTTCGAAAATTTGGAATTTCCCCAACAGTATATTCGCCATTGGCGAAATTCCCCACGACATTCGCCAATTGGCGAATTTCACACTAGAGATTCGCCAATTGTAATCCGTAGAATTATGACTCAACTAAATTGATGATAGAATATTTAAGTCGTACGGTCTCATATTTGATATGGAGGTTAACAAACGATGAACAGTATATTATTTTTACTGATCTTCTTCTGATCATAGCTTTTCTTGTATATCAAGATACATTCTTTTATATAAAAATTATATAAACTTCTTTTATTTCATATAAAAAAAAAAAACCTTCTATACACATATAAATAAATAAGTTTATATTCCGATAAATAAGAGTCTTTTCTAATCAACTAGTTTGCACCATAATGACAACGTTGCATATGTTTAGTATAATATTAGTTAAGAAATAAATAAATAGAGGAGGATATAAGAACAAAGATGTTTCTCTGTAACTATATCGTGACCAATCACATACAGTCAAGTGCGAGATACTTATTATCTACAAAATAAATTACTACAGGGGGCATGATTGTGTTCCAGTTCGATCCTATGCATTCTCAAATAACACAAAGAATATGTTCGACTAAGTTGAACATAGACAAAGCAATTATTAAATATTGTTGTACTTATATACACTTGAGCTAATTCCGTTTGATCGGTAACAATATAAAGTACTATAATTGAGTTACAACTCAATTGATTCAAATTGGCGAATCTCCAGTGGGAAATTCGCCAATAAACTTTTTGTTTCGCCATAGTGTATTCACCAATTTGGCGATAGTGTAGTACCCCACAAAGTACA